TGTTGGTGGCCCATCTGTGTACCCGGTGGGGCACCACTGATTGGTGACGGGTAGGTCCGTAACACAACTGATGCAAATACAATGATAGTATGTATGCAGGTAAAACAGTATTCAATTGGATGGACGGGGAGAGAGAGAAGGTGAGAGTGGAAGGAATACTATCTAGTTGGTCTATCCTACATGTGATGCCTGAGGCATCCAACACATGTCCTTATGTTAACTTTGAAGGTGGCGCTGGCTTCCTCCACGTTATGTCGCGATAAAGGTCAATGCAAATAATTACATGTCTAAAGATTGCGCCCGAAAGGAGTTACGAATCACACAGCGTATAACCCAAGCAAATGCAGCCGACGAAGGCCGGTCTTTTGTCCGCACTTTGCTTGACTCATTCGACTTGCCAGGGCCGTACGGCAACCATATTTGCATGGTCTTTGACCCCCTCTACGAGCCCTTGTGGATGCTAAAAGAGCGCTTTCAAGGGGGCGTTCTTCCACCCGATGTTCTAAGGACCGTCATTCGGATGGTCGTAATGGGCCTTCATTATCTTCACACCCAGTGTCATGTTATCCATACAGGTCTGTCTAATAACCAAATAAAGCTTCCCTGATTGAAAAGCTAAGAAATGGCAGATCTAAAGTCCGACAATATTCTAATGGCTCTTAGAGACCACTCCGTACTCGACGCGGTTGTTCGAGATGAGATAGAGGATCCACTGCCTCAGAAAATTTCCGATGATCGAACAATATATCTCTCACGCAACGACTTTGGCTTTCAAGCAAACAGTCTAGGTAGGCCAGTGATCACGGATTTTGGGCTTTCGGTTTGTGGAGACAAGGCCCCTCACAATCACTCTATTCAACCAAATGGGTTTCGAGCCCCAGAGGTTATAATTGGAGCCAGTTGGGACTATAGTGTTGATATATGGAATCTAGGCGCATTGGTGAGGCTTAATGGCATTCTCCTCCTAGATATTCTAACAACTTAGCTAGATCTGGGAACTGCTTTGTGGGACCGGCCCTTTTGATTATTCAACATCATCCTCAGATTCAACTTACAGCGAGGAAAAGCATTTGGCGTCTATTATCTCCTTGATCGGCCCTCCGCCAGAGGATATGCTTGGGCGAGGAAGTCAAAGTTCGCGATATTTTAATGACGATGGTATTTCGAGAACAAGATGTCACTGCCCAAAATTTGTCTTGCTAATTATCAAGCAGGTCAATTCAAGTTTCCCGGTCTCATTTCGAAAGAACGAGGACTTGAAAAAAAGCTTACGGTCATCGAAGGGGATGAGAAGCAGATGTTTATGAATTTGTCTCTAGACTGCTGCGATGGCGGCCAGAAGATCGAGGAACTGCAGAGGAACTACTCTCTGATCCCTGGCTGAAGGAGTAGGTTCTCGTTAGAATCCATAGAAATTGCACTGTGTTGGAATGAAATCAGACATACGATCATTATATATGGAAATGAGTGTTTTAGGTATCACTCAACAGCATCCACGTCATTTTTGGAAAGATCATAAGTTCCAATTCTCTATCCTCACTAGGATAGCAAGAGATTTCCTTTCAGTCCCATCTACTGAAGCTGGAGTTGAATGTCTCTTTAATTCAGTACGGGATATCTGTCATTATCGCAGAATTCAACTCTTGAATTGAAGACAGTTCCCAATTCTACTTGATGCAGCTCCATAATCGTGTGCAAGGCCTGGTGTGATCCTTTCGGTTCGGAAAAAATGCTGAGTTCGATGATCAAATCTATGAGCTCTGGTGGTAGGTCTTTGATTCTTTCCAAAAGTGGAAGGCCACCGAGTATGGTTTCTTCGTAGTCGTTCATGGTGATGTGATTGTATCACTGGGAAAATTTGATTCTAGAAAGGAGCTTTCTGAAGCTGTAGTTCCCTTAAGATCTATCTCCAGGGAGCAAATTATCGCCACGTCTTGGTGTCTTAGTGTACTTGGAAGCGCACAGCGAATTAGATAGCTTAAAAAAAAATTTGACGCTGCTAGTATCATTCATCACTAAATTGCGAAGGCGTTCTTGAGTAAATAACCCAAAGCTGTCGCAATGAACACCGAGGGCAAATAGTCCAGGCTTGTCACTCTTGAATGTTATTATTCACTCCTCTACCTCTTATCTATTCAAAGAAAATATAAACCGGCATCACTTTCAACTGCTTTCGACTGCTTTATATTGAGAGCTGTTCGTCAAGCCACGACTTTGTCGCCCCTTACTACCCTATCGCGACATTTTCCTTGTCCTACTATTGAGGTTCGATTGAGGTTCGGATTGATGATATTCTCAAAGTTACAAACGGAAGGCTGACGGTTTAATTAGGGCTTTTGGTAGTCAACAAACATGTGCTGGACCCAAATATACAAGTATGATTGTGGCTGCAATGAAGTGGTGGATGAATTTTCCTTGTGTCGAGAAGCTCTGTAAGGGGAAATGTTCAGGTAAAGGGGAAAAAGATAGGGATCAGCGTTTCAGGCAGATCTGCTCCAAATGCCGTCAGACAAACGTCGCTTGTTGAAAGAGCACAGTTTTCTGGGTTGTTTTCTCAAATGCCCGCTTCTCTTGTTGACCACGTTTCTCCCACTGCGGAAGAAGGATAGTCCGCCTGTAGGGCTAATCGCAGTCTTAATAAGAACATCGAAATATGTCTGCTCCGCCAACTCCTGATCGCCGTCTAGCTGATTGTGGGTGTCTGGTCTTTCGGATTGTGGAAAAATTGAGTCATAGATTTGTATTGATCAAGTTCTCGACGTAGCCAGTAAATCTCAAGTTTAAACGTGTCACATAGCTTTTGAAGGGACTTGATCGCATCCTTGAGTTAGTAAATCTCCCGATTTCGGTTACGGTAACGTCGCGATGCCTTATTGTTCCCTTTCCGGCTCTTCGCCCTGGTAGACGATCTAAATTGAAAGTTTAATTTGCATGGAATTAGAGAGCTTGTGGGGCTGTTTTGTTGCTTTTAAGGGTTGTTGAGGAGATGCGGATCTTTGCAATGGTTGGATAAGATCCAAAGTAGATAAAGAATAGAGTAGATTGCCGATATCCATTGCTTAATACCACGGTAATTGAGAGAGATGTGTAGGCGATATAGAGCAAATTTAGGAGGAACTGTGACCTTATTCCCATCGTTATCCAGCGCGAGAGGGGTTGAGCGCCTTGTTTTTATATCCTAGATTGAGTTTCAAGACCTCCACCTCAGGATAGTACTATTGCCTATCGAACGTACTAGCAGCAATGATGATAACGGACCTGTTGTAACTAAATTGGCTTTTGAATCTAAATATGGACAAGAAGACATGGTAAATGGAAAGAGTAGAGAAATTTAGATTGAGATAATAAAGCGATGAAGTCCTGCTTGTTCTTGAGCAGAAATCTACTATTATTTGAGATGCAAAACGAGTCTCCCATCTCTTCATTGGGAGACCTGTAGGTAGTGACGGCTGATAATAAAAGTTCAGACTCGTGGAGCTTCCAGTCATTTATACTCGTTGATACCCGCAACCCTTTTTATTTTGTATCCAATTATCCAACGCATTAATTGCCTATAAAAGAGCTGGTCCCTTCCATGGAATCCATATGTGTGCAGTAGTGGGGGTGAGCCATGTCGTATGAGTTGGAGTCATGAGGATGTGGAGACTTAGTGTAGCGATCGAAATTGTGGGACGCTGCGAAAGGGTTTCCAATGGGGCAGTCGGGAATTGAATTGTAATTTGCCCCGATTGTTTCCGCAGTCGTACTGAACATAGGCTGCGATGACAAGTTGCTGCATTGGGACCACATATTATAACCGCTGAGACTTCTCGGGAGATAATGTGTGGGCGCTGAAGACTGAGCCTCGGCTAGTGTGTTCAAAAGAGGAAATTTTGGCTTGATAGGCTTCACTGCCATTGGCCCTTGCTCGTCGTGGTGGTGAGGTTCTTCAGTGGAGGGGTTGACTGTGTTGATGGGCTTGTCTTCTTTGCCCTTGAAAGGGTAGACTTTCACGATCACATTTTCATCTGAGAAGTTTAGCCAAATGTTAAACTCTCGCAGTTTTATATTACTTGCCGACTTGACCTTTCTCGAATTTTTCCTGCATGTTTCGAACCCGAAGGATCTCATAGATTACCTCGGCGCGCTGGGGGTCCGGCAACTTTCGCTCTATGCCTCTTGCGACTTGCTTCAGCATATCGATCGTAATACCATGGCTACCAAGCTTGCAGGTAATGTGAACCAGCAGTTGGAGGCGGTCTATTCAAACCAAACGTTAGCATGTGCGATGAAAAGCCATCCTATAAACATACACTCTTTCTTCAGGTGATCAGGCTCCTTGTGCATAACACCTGGAGGCCACCAATTTGGCTTAGTCGCTTCCGGATTCCTTTCAGTGCCAGATGCGGATCCTACCGGTGTCTTTCCATTATATGGATGTTTAACTTGCTTCAATGGCTCAATGGCACGGATGAATTCCTTGGCAATTGCACGGCAGTTCAGCTGTTGAAACTCGCGATAAGCGCGCTCATAGTAAGCCGTTACCTTTGAAGTATCTCCAATTCTAAGAGAAACCATGCTAGCGGAGTTGTCGAAATCCTCGTGGTCGGAGTCATGCTCAGCAAAATGCCTACTGGAAGGGGACTCGAGGAGATGACTGCTCTTGAGGCATTTCACTGAGCGGTATGTTCGGTCTATATGAGAATTAGCGGGTTCTCTCATATACTCAAATACGGCTTTACATACGATTGGGCCGACTCTAGCAGATTTCTTCGCCCAGAATGTCGAGGAAATTCTGGCGGACCTCCGGAGTGAACACACTGGGCCCACGGTCCTGAACAGATTGAGATTCTTGGACTTGGAGATTGCCCTCATCATCGATGAATATCATCGCATAGTATCTGTAGCGTGGGGTGTATGATGGGGAAGAGATAGACATCTCAAGCTGAGCATCACCATTCAATTCCTGAGGCTCCTGGAGATCTGAGAAAGCCCTCTTCATAGCACAAGTTGTATTGTTCAAATTGTTGGAAACCATTGCGATTATGTTGGTAGAGTTTGTCGGCTGTGGACTATATGACAAGCACGGAAGAAGCTGCTGGGGCGTATTTCAAAATGGAGACAATAAATTATATAAGAATCCTCACGGTTGACGTCCACTGCCCAGGAAAAGATGGTCTTTTTGTCAATAAACAGGTGAAGTCTGAAAGTTTCTCTTTCCTTGTTGACCATGCATCTCCGACTGCGACAAAAGGATGCGTCCGCGCTCTTTGTGGGGCCGGGGGGGGGGGGGGGGGGTTGGTTATCTCCCTCATATTAGAGAGTTTAGAGATTGCTTTTTACATCTTGCTTCGCGCCCCGTCGGCCCCAATTTCATTACTTGCTTAATTAATTCTGTACAGTAACAGTATCATATAGTGCGCAGGGCAACTAGAATTACTTGGATTATCTAAAATCCAACAGACAAATGTTTAGCAATTCGAGAAACATACAGGGGGAAAATACGTCGTGTTGGACCAACAAACGACCTGGGGAAGCAAAAGAAGAGAAAGAGAGAAAATGAGGCATCAGGCCAATCCATGCCTACGTTGCTTAGCAACTATATATGCAGTTGACTAGCAATGGGAATTCTTTAGTCGTTGGCCCAGGTCGTGAATACGAGATACTGAAGCTATCAATGTTTGCTGATGTTATAGCAACTGACGAGCTACGAGCTACCGTTGGTGATAGCTCGCGCATTAGCCCCAGCGCAAACACCATTCTCGTAGTTCTCGAACCAGATTTACCTGAGGAATTTTCACATCATTTCAGATTTTGCACGACTTCCACAGATCGGCACCAATGATGACCGTTAGCAAAGTAAACTAAAACAAACTTGACATTGGGAATGATAATCAAATTGCTTTTATCCACCCGACCATACGTAATAAAATGCCCTTGTTTCTTCAGCAACGGACCTAACTTCAAAAGAAGCATCGATCATTGTTCATGTAGATCGTACCACTCCGGAATCTCCCGGATGAGTTTCCGCATATACTTCTCCAGTTGAACCGCACACTTTGTATAAACCGTTGTTGCGTCATTGTACTGCCGACAATTGCTAAAAATCAATTGGAGATCGGGGACTAGGTCATTCGGCCCAGAGTAAAAATCGGCATTCAATCGTTCCTCTATCGTCGAAAGGTCCATTGGTGATGTAATGACAGCGTAATAATCAGGGACTTCGTCTTTGTTGACCGGACTGACGAAGGGCCATGCATGTTTGTGATTTTGGATGTGATTTAAAAAACGCCGGAGTTCATTGTAATGAGGCCCACGGCGAGGTTCCCGTGATAACTCGTCCATATCTGGAGACCAGCCAGTTGCTCGAATGGCAGGAATAGAGAGTGGATCGATTGGAGTGATGACACCGCTAGCCCATTGCTGAGGTGGTGGGTGAATAACATGATTCTTGCTGAAGGTACGTATTTTGGCTAGAACAGATTCCTTCTGCTTGAGAAGCATACGACCCACTTCGAGATAACGTATTCGAGGAACCATGGAGCATTGCATAAGTGTTCCCCCTTCGTAATCTTTGATGTACCCCATCCAGATAGATTTTTCCAAAGTGATATCTTTGGTGAAACCTTGCTTTTGAAAGTACCCGGTGGCATAATTATCGGCGTAAGTTAGAAAATGCATCACTGGGGAGGTAGCTCTGACATAATCCTTCAGATGGGCCATAATATGCGCTCCATAACCTTTCACTTGCTGGTCAGCCGAAACTGCGCAAAAAACAATTTCGGCAAACTGGCGCTGTCGAAACTCCCGGTATGTGATTCCGCCAATTACCTGCAAAGGCATCTTGACAATGGCCATAGATAAATGACTGCGATCGTAGACGAGACGTGCGATATAGTCTTTTGGCATTTTGGGTAGTTGCTTCTGAAAGAGGCATTTGAGGCCTGTGAGTATAATCATACTTTCGATGGAGCCATCGTTGTTGACAACTCGGTACTCGATCTCGCCGCTTCGTTCTTCTAGCACTGCAGGCTTGTAAACTGTTTGAATAGTTCTCGCTCGCAATTGAATTCCTTGATTACCTTCTCGTAGATGGGAATCCTCCGAGCAGCAGGAGTTTGATCAGCAGACTCCACCGATGCATCATCGAGGATTTTGATTTTTTTGGCATATGTGATATGCAATTCTTCAGAGGCCGGGCGCTTCGCAGCGAGGAGATCTGGCCTGCTGTCGGCTACGATCGATTGCGACTCTGCTTCCTCCATTTGTGTCGAATGCCGGCGAAATTGTCCTTCGGATATTTCGGGCTGATGATATTCAGCATAGATATTTCAAATGGTGCCCTGGGATGACGAGAGTGTTGCAGGAGTGTTGGGTCACTTGGGAAATTGAAGTGATTTGGATTCTTATCTCAGCTTGGAACTCGCCCCTTGAATCACGTGATATTTTCATTTGTCCACTACTCGGGTGGCAGAGCTCCAGCAGTCTAGATAAGTGCATCCTACAGTGTTGGAATTGGAAAGTCTGGAAGTGTACAATTTGTTTAAACTTGCTAATCAATGAAATGTTTATTTTCAAAAGAATGCTAATCGATGTGTTCCATATATATCGAAAAGGAAACAAGGGCGGAGCAGTTACATCATGAGCCCAACTAGCTACGGGAGAGTAGATGTGCAAAGTCAGCTTCAGATAGCGAGGTGCTGGCGGAAGTGCGACTAGACCGTCCCGCTCAAGCAAAGTCGGCGTGTATGTTGTAGAAACGGTCTTTGCGAATATTCCCCCCCGTAATCAGAACAGACATCACGTGATCTGGGCTTACAATATTCCTACGCTTTTGCATCGGGCATCAACCGCTTTTCCTAAACTCTGCCAAAAGAGACTTGATCTATCGCCCAGTCGCGCTCACCCATCTGGCCTGTCCCCTTCTCATTGTCACCGAACGCCATGGCGGCGCATTCAATTGGCCCTTCGGCGCTGTTGAAGTTGGAGGAATTAGCTTCTTGGCTCAAAGAAACGGCCGAAATGAAGGAAGAGGAGAAGAATATATTCAGATGCGTGGACAGTGATCGACATATGAAACTACGCCCACTTCTGGATGAATTGAAATATAGCCAGATCAAGGTGAGAGGGCCTATCAAACTATGCTGTTCAGTAGCTAATTTGTAAAAGGGCCATGGTTATACGATGTATCGTATAGCTGGAAAAGCTGAAATCAACATAACTCCCAAATACCGCTCGTTCTTGTTTCCGCTCACTGTTGGTTCAAGAAAGGATGCACCATCGAACGAGCTGGAAATTTTAGGCGTGCGACTCTCACCAGGTAATTTTATCCCCATTACCTGCAATCTGGTTCTCGATACACAGTTGGAC